TTAAAAAAATAATAATTATACTTTTATTTTAAATATAATCCTCGATTTATATGTTATTTAATATTTCTTAGATCTTTCGATATTATACTAATTGGTAGAAACTTTTTTTTTTCAATACAACATACATATCTATCAATCATAATTTTTATAAAATTAAGATTACTAATCAACGACATATGCACGTCAATAATAGTAAGCTATATATATTTTTTTTTCAACAGTTCCAGAAATGTTGAATTATAATATTCATCAACTTTAAGTTTAATTATAAAAAATTTTCAGGTAAGATCTTATTTTTACAAAAAAATTATTTTTAATTTTTTTAACTAAATATAACATGTTATAAATGTGTTATAGCTTTCCTGGATTGTCTTGTTGCTTAAAGTGCTCAAAGATGTATCCATGTTTACAGTAGAGTTCTGACGTTTCGCACTCAACTGTAAACATGAATACTTCCTTAAGCACNCACTCAACTGTAAACATGAATACTTCCTTAAGCACTTCAAGCTATAACAAATATTGATAATAATTGTAAAATTATTGATTACCATAGATGCATATTTTAATTAAATAAAAAAATATATAATTTTAATTAAAATTGAACACAGTAAATAATGATATGTATATGATTTATATAATGGCATAAATTTACAATTACATTAATTTACACATCAATTTATATTAACGTTTCCCGAACCATCAAAATAATTACCCAAACTAAAGCACATGGTTGATATAGGGCTAAAAAATCTCACTATAAAAGTTAAGAAATTAAAAATATTTACTATATTTATCGTAAAAAAATATGATTTACTTGATCCAGTCAGAGCATATTAGTATAATAATTAATAGCTATATTATATATGTTCGATCGTAATAAGCTATGATTACTTAATTTTCTGACTATCGAATTACTTATAAACATATGATAAGATATTTATTAGGGTGCCACTTATTCATACATTGTTGTGTATTGAGTAGTGATAATCTTTACGATTGTAATGTAGCAGTAGTACCGGTTTACACTCGGCCCAGATAACATGTAGCAAACGCGCGAGTGCCCAATAAAAAATGTAATTTTCATCAATAAAGTTTTTTCGTAAAAGTAATTGCGATGTTGATTATTTCCTTAAGTGAACCCGCAAAACATACATGATGATTTTTTTTTTTTTTTTTGTAATTCTTATGAGCGCCGGTCAAAATTTTATTAGAAATACCTTAAATATAAATCATGTAAAGTTTCAGCCCATTTGAACAACTTTAAAACGTGCCGATTTGAGATTAAAGTTTTGTGTAAATTCGTAAAATCCGTTGTTTTGACATATAGTCGTTACAATTTTCATTTACAAAAAATTTTATAGAAAAATAAATGTAGTACAAAACACGTTTTAAAAAAATAGTCACTTAATATTTTTTTGTAAAGTGAACTCATTCTCGGAGAAATAACAAAATATGTACGATTTTGCGTATTATAGAATAAACACAACTTTAGTTTTGTAAAGTTATATTTTTAATAGGGTGTCTTAATTATAAACGACAATAAAATTTTTGTTATTATTATGAACATCATTTTAAGTTTAAGTTAAAATTGATAAATGTCACTTATCACATACACTGACTCATAAACATATGATAACATATTTATATTACATAATGAATTAAAATCACCACCTATATTGGAATTTAAATTCCCATTTTAACTTTTATCCTTTATGGGAGTACCAACATGATTATTTAAATGTCAGCATACATATTCAAATAGTTCAAAAAAGTAGAAAATGATCTAACTAAGAAAATTACTAGTTGATAACAATTTTTGAACCAGTAAATAAAATGTCATCAACACTTTAAAATATAGACTGAAAGTGTGGTGTGCAATTAATTTGTATTTATCATCAAACATTATTTGCCGTGCAACATATCTAACTAAGGTATTAAAATACGCATAACTCCTGAACATAAATTTTAAATTCATTTGCTAAATACACCTTTTTTTAACGTTGTCAACGCAAATTTTCAAGTCCGAAATGATATTTTTTTTATTCTACAAAAATAATGATATTTTGATCCTACAAATAAAGTTAAAATAATAATAATAATAACAACAAATAATTTACATTTCTAATTTACATAACTTATTTAATAATTTATTTCAATTCATTGAGGACAGATTATACGGTACTATTAACGACTACATCGTCTAACAAGACTACACCAGGAATTGAGTCAACTATGTACCTATTATTTGACAAAGTAATGAAAAAGTTTTAAATATATATAATTTCTCTGAAAATAATAATTTTTTGAGAGTTTTTGGCTTTTGTTAATTACATATGAGTTTTTATTTACTATAGCAAAATATTTTCATTGTCATCCCTTACAGGTTATAAGAGTGTCTTATTTATTTTTTAATGGACACACACATATTCCACAAGTTTATAAAATACAAAATTATTTCATTAAAAAAATAAGTAGCTTTTTACAACTATTTTAAAAGTTATTAACAATTTAAAATAATAACTGGACGGTAAGAAATAGTTGATGCTATTTTGATCATTAAAAATTCTAGGCATCACTCTTCCTTCATCCAAAGTATAAAAATCTTATTAATTTCAGAAATATTTGTTATCAACGCGTCATTTTCTTAATTAAATAATATATTATTATGTATTTAATATTTTTAAATGAGAACATTATATGTTTCCATTTATTTACACTCTATAATAGATTAAATTATGTATTTGTAAACAAATATTTGTGTACAGTTATTTCGACTAATAGTCCACTAATAGAATTTAATATGATACTGAACATTTACGACAAATTAATTTAAGTATTCACATCATTATTATTTTAGTATAAAAAATACAATTAAATCAATTTAGAAACATGTGTTGCAAAATTGTTGTATAGACTATGTAAACAACTACCATAATGCGTTACTAGCATACTGATTGAAGTATTAATAAAACCGACAAATATTATATAACTTAATTTAAGAAACTGCTCCTTTTCAATATTACAATTATCAAAATTTTTTTACATATTTTTTAACTGAGAGAATGGTAAGTATTTAAATTTATAATCTATATGATGATTAATTGAGATTATGATACTCATTTTCTTGGAAACTATTGAAAAATTTTAAATTTTGCAAAATAAATATTGTTTGATTCAAAAAACTCTACAATAATATGTAATTAAAGAAATTTCTTTATTTTTTTAGAGACAAAAAACCTAATCTTAAATTTTCATTAATAGGAACATCTATTTTTAAGTTAGATAATTTGTTGATAGAAATAAAAATGTTCTTAGAACTGTTTTTATTTTGTGAATTATTCTGAAATTTAGCGATTTTTCTATTAATAATATCTTTTTTAGCATTCAGTATTTGTCAATTGTTACAGATACAGTTCGATATTATTCATTAAACGAACATTGTTGAGCTATAAAAATAATTTATGGCACATTTTAATATATTATTATTACTCCAGGTACTATTAAAACCAAAATAATGATATTCGTATTTTAAATTTAAATCTATAAATAATTTTAAAACTCAAACATTTTTTTCTATCATATCATCAAAATAAAATTAATGTTCTCATTAAAGAAATTAATTAAATTTTTATACCTGCTGGTATGAGAACACAACTTATTTAACTCCATATTATCGTAAAATTTTTTTATTAAATAATAATGTTCTTTATAAAAGTCATATCCTTAATGAATCACTGTGTATTTTTATACTTAAATTGATATTTAAATTATTTTTTAGAATTCATATTTGATCAAATTTATGACTTTGTACTTTATTTTATCAAATGGTAATATACAAATAAATTTATTACACATAATTTTAAAATTAGCTCTCACTATTTAAATAAATAAATGTTTGTACCTAAATTTAAGAAAATACTTTTACTTGTTGGAAAATATTATACAGTATCAAATGATATAAAATCAATTTTTATTTTTTGAATGGTACTAGCAATGAAAAAAATTTTAAAGATTTGTGTTAACCCAAATATTATATGGCGTGTCAAAAAAAGTATACAATTGCTTTTTGTTGAAAATTTATCGATACATTTTTATATGTTATATGTAATTCAGTTTAATAATTTTTAATCTAAATTCAATATATTAAGTTATACGTCATATTATCTGTCATATACGTGAATTCATAATGAAAAATGTATAGTAATAATATGATTGAAAAAATCGTCAAGGAAATTAATATTTACAGAATAAAGTAATCTTAATATATTATGGTCATAACATTTTTAACGTAGCTATTGAAAATAATAATTTTAAGGCTGAATCAAGTAAACCATTTTTTTGTATAAAAAAAAATAAATAAAAAAATTGTACTATTGTTTTATTTTAGAATTGAGTTCTTCGATTATCAGTAAGTATTATAAATAAAATTATCCACTAAGACAATTACCTATAAATGTTCATCGCTCATACTCAAAAAAAATGCTTGACATTCATTTTGTTCATCTCTCCACATATTAATTCTTGCACATCTATTTTGGAATTTCTTTTTACTGCTAAACAGTTTAAAAACTTTATTAATCGTCGCTCAATTTTTTTAAAAGAATCTTAGTTTCTTTCATTTTTTAATCAAGTGGTGCCACTTTACGTTCCTTCTCAATAGAAATTAACCCCTTCATATATTCAACTTCCAAATCATTCAATTCTTCCACAATTGAGTCATTTGTTTTTTACCACATCCTTTAACTATGCTCTTTACTACTAATGAGTTATTTTTTGCAGCTTACTCTTGTTCCTCCTCAAGGTCCGATCTGGAAGATATTTCTTCCTTGATACTAAAAAATATCAATTACGCTTGGATATTTTTCTATTAATCTCTTGGAAAAATGTTGATCGCATTCCTATCTCTAAACCTAATACATTACTTCCTGCTTTTCATCCTATTCCTCTATCTTCTTCTCTATAAAATAGTAGAACACATAATAAAAATTGGTTTAGATTGATTTCTGAAAAAAAAAACCCAGCACAGAGGGGTCGCGGCACAGTGGTGACGTGGCAAAGTTGGATCAAGTAAATGATATCTGACAGTGATTAAAATCACTATCAAAAATAAACGCTTCGATGCAAATCTTTAGATAGTGTTTAATTTAAAAAAAATTGGTGTTTTATTCCAAAAGCTACTTGATTTGCTAGTTCCTTATTAATATCTCGATTAAGATAAAGTATGTCGAATGAAAAAGAGTTTATTAAAAAATATTATTTCTCATAAAAAAAATTGTGTGGATCCATAAACTTTTCAATAAGTTATAGCATTATAAAGTTAAATATAATATAAATAATAAAATCGAGAATTTTCACACAAAAATAGCATTCAGTAGCCATTTTCACCGTGTAGACAAGTCCAGAGGTCAAATTTTTTTTTTTTCAAATTAAAGTAAATTACATTAGCTTTAATTTAAGATATATATAAAAGTGTCAGACCTTCCGGAACATTTTCAAAAGTTAAGTTGAAAAAGTAAATTTGTTGTGAAAAAGTTGTCATTTTAAATCCTCCCCTGTGGGCAGGTTAAGGGTTAAATTTATAAAAAAAATATACCAAATAAAATGTAATGATATTATGCATCTATATAAAAAAGAATTATATTGATATGTTTATTTTTGAAAAAGTTATGGGACTTTTAAGTAAAAAAATTTTTAAAAATTTCGAAAATTAGCGATTTTTAAATTTGTAATTTTTTTGGAGGTTTCCCCCATTTACGGGGAACGAGGGAAATTTTTTCAATTTTGAAGGGTAATGTCTTCGACTAGATACGATTTGTGATCTTTTGACGTATCGTTGAAAGAAATCCGTTCGGTGAGAGCTGAGAAAAAGTGGTAACGGACACAAAAAAAAAAAAACACATCATAGTAAAACCAATACCTTCTCAGCTTCGCATCGAAGCTAAAATAACCTAATCCCTAATATTCTATTTTATTTTCGGAATTTCTAAGATATTTTCGAGTGTCTATCTTTTTTTATCGGACCCATCTATGAGTTTTTTTGTAAAAAAAAAAGACAATTCTTCTAGCAGTATTTATTGATGATATCAAAGGAGTTTTTGATTCAATTAATATACTTAATAATTTAAAACGTTTAAACGCTATTGAATTACCCACTTCCTTTTGTAATTTTCTTTTTCTTGCTTTATTTTAATCGCTTCTACATTTCTCCTCTAATTCTGTGTCTTCTATTTCTGGATTTTCTTTTCGTTGACTTTCACAAGGAAGTTGTCTTTGACTCATTCTTTTCAATATATATATATATATGTAAACCATCAGTAATGACTTTTCCTCTCATAGTTTCTCCTATCATTTTTATGCCAATTATTTTGTCCTCTTTTCTTCTGATAAATCTCTTGATCACAATGTGGCTATTCACAACGTCTCTTTATCCATCCTTCCCAAAAACCTCTTCTCTTCATAAATTACTTCAGCACAATAAAATAGTCAATTAATATCCCCCTCTAATACGGACACTTCCCTAGGACTTAACTAAGATCCCAAGTTAATAAGGATTCCTAATTGCCAGTTCCTTTTTTCCTTTGTAAAACACTGAACTAATTTCCTTTGTTGTATTACTGAGACAATGTGGGAATCTCCTCCCTCCTTCATGCAATAAATTATTAATTCTATTAGTCGTACTATGATTGATTACAGTTTTTTTCTATTCTCTTCTGAACCCATATGCCATCGTAAGTGGCTTAATTCAATTATAGCATCTTGCTTACGATGGATTTTAGGCATCCATGTTTTTGTTTTAAATAAAAATGATAAGCGGCATATTATAAACAGAAAGTAAGAGTGGTGTTTGGTCTGGCGTAGTCTTGGGAGTGGTTGGTAAACGGTCATCATATTAATGAAATAAAAGTGAAAGGATCTCGGGGTATGTTTGCCTACAGTATCACTACTGATATATGTGAACGCAGGATAAAAGAGCAATGATAGGTTAATATTTCGCTCATATACAAAAATATAATCGCGAATTTATTTGTGTTGAAAATCCCGTATTTTTATGCAATTATTTTAGTCTGTTAATTTTTTACGACCTATCTCACTCTAATTGTTTATTAGTAAAAAACCTATAATGAAAGTATTATTTGGATATTTTACATAAATAAATGTTCTCAATTATCTCTAAGTATCCCGATAAGACAAATATTCAAATGCGATGAATCACGCAGTTGGGATGGGTTCTTCCTATTTATGAATGCCCTTATAAGGTTTTAATCCTCAATCCTGCTATTTATATTCTAACTAATTTACTGACTTCTTATCTTCGACCTATATTAAAATGTATTTTTTTAATACACTTTAAAAACTTTCCCAATTTTCGTTTCAATTTGACTGATTGTTATACCTCATCATTCAAAACATGTGTGCTTATTACATACCAAGTTTTGATATTTCCTTTTCTATCAACTTGCATCCCATTTTCTTTGCATACTCATTTACTACTGAATTAAATTATTAATGCACTACTCTAAATATCTGTCTCTCAAGATACCTATTTTCTTGTCTGATTAGATTCGTAGGCATATCTATTAATACAAACCTTTTCTTCCTCTTCCTGTATAATTTTTTTAATTATAGGGGATTTTCTCCTACTAAAAACACATCGCAAATGAAGGATTACATAGAGAATGTTATCCTTTATTTTTTCTCCATTATTCTAATGTTTTTCGTTACTTTAAATCCATCTTCGTGAATGTGTGAATCGCCAAAACGGTCTTCTTTCCCTGCCATGTTATCGGTCCATCGTACTTAGTCCTTCTAATGTCTCGGGTTCCATCGTCTAGATCTCATCCGCAATATCATTTCAAGCTTTTCATACCTTAGTTTGAGCCATAACCTTTTACGAGCTTTCGTTTATAAATTAAACCTTAATTCTGCTTCCTTTTATCATTTGCTTGAGGAATAAGTTATTGGTGACTTCCTTCACTATTTTTTTTATACATATTAAACTGCCTCAACTTGGTGTCTTGTAGGTGCCTGTTTATAATATCTATAAAATCCAATGACAATTCTAATCTTGCTTATTTTGTGATACTAATTTATTGATCTATTTCTGTGATTGCAGCCATTATTTCTTTTATATCCAGCGTTGGTTGTATTATTTAACCATCTTATTGTTTTTGATAAATTTTATTTTTATTTCATCTTACTCTTTGTTGTACTATATAACATTTTTTTATTTAAATAGATCATACTGTCCCTTAATATCCCAATAACTAATTAAAATGTTATTTTCGAGCTATAATATTTATATTATAAATGCTATGAAAAAAAGAAGTATTATTTTTTATAAGCATTTGATTAGCAGTAAATATAATAAATAAAATAAAATGATCGATAAGACCAATATCTATGATATTTTTCAATTCTAAACACTCCTTTTATTAATTATTATTTACGTATTTCACATAAAATTTAATAAAAATGACGATGTTAAGTTCAATTTAAAATAAATTTAAAAAAAAACTAAATACAATATATTAAGAAATAATACTCTTACACTAAGCATTTAAATAATATTTTTATTGTATAATTAAATAAAAATTATGAAGGTATTTTTTTTTATTTATTCAAGTAGAAAATACAATTATTTTTGCAATAGAGGGTATTAATAAAAAAAATGTAATTATTGTTTTTCTTTAGCATTGGATTCTTCGAGTAACAGTGAGTTTCATAAATAATATTATTCAACAAGACAATTAACTATATAGGTGTTAGGTTAATAAGAAAACTACTTTATTCATAGATTAAATATTATTTACGATTTTAATACAGAATTAATTTATTTAGATAAGATTATTTATTTAAATAATTAAATAAAGTAATATCAATCGAAGTGAATTAATTAAAGAAATAATTGTAATTAAACGTTTAATTAATATTTACGTATTTTAAATAAAATTTAATTAAAATGACGATGTTAAGATCAATATAAAATAAATTTTAAATATTACTAAATACATTATATTACGAAATAATACTCTTACTCTAAGCATTTAAATAATAGAAAGAAAACGTATTTCTATTGTCCTCATTGTTTGTAACAATTTGCCTGATTCCTTATTTACGGAACACACTGTTCACCTCATGAATCTAAGTTATTTTGTACATATTTTTAATTTATTATTATATACAATATTTTTTAAACAAAAAATTTTAGTTAATTCGTTAGAAATACAATTTAAGTATTTATAATAATATAGTTTTATGATATTTCTATAGCTTTGGACAAAAATAAGGAAGGTATGTTATCGATTAAAAAAAAAAATAACAAAAACGTCTTTTTCTAAGCAATTAATAACATTCAAATTTTTATTGTAGAATTGAATAAAATTGATGAAGGTAATTTTTTATTTATTAATGAAAAAAATACACTTATTTTTTAATTTCAAAATAATAATAATAAATTCAATAAAATAAAAAAAAGTCTTACTTTAAGCGCTTAAATAACATTTAAAATTTACATTGTTTAGTCTTTAGTAAAAAATATGATGGTTAATATATCATTTATTGAATCTAATACGTGGAAGTTATACGAGATTTGTTAAATAATATTTTTTTTTACTAACATGTACAAAATAAAAGTTGATTTCTTTTTTGATACATAAGAAATATTAAGTTATTGTAAAAAAAAAAATTATTTCATAAGTTAGACTTTAAAGAGAACTTTCAAAAATTAAAAAAGAACTTTTTTTTATTATACTATATTGAAGTATGTAATAAAAAAAATTTTGACTGTTCGATAACCAGCGTTGTTTATTTCTATTGCGTAATTATAATTATATTATATTATAACTATCAAGCAGCTCGTATTTTTTTAAGACCATTTTGAATTTAATAGTAAAGTAATATTAAAATCGTCTATTTAACTTTCGAAAGTAACTCTTAAAATTTGCCTTTAGGCATTACTTCAGAGCGGCCTACACCGTCTATAACTCACACCAGCACGTTGTGAATCAGCCCAAAATTAATCAAGAGCTAATTCGCAACGAATACGGTGCAAGTTGTCTTTAAAGTAGCCGTGCCCGGACATCACCTGGGTGAGACAATAAGTCATCTCAACGTGAGTCCGGTCTACCCACCTGTGCAACCGATCGGATTCTATGAGGGACGCGATCCACTCGCCTCTCGTCGTTTCCTCCAAGAGGTGAGTGCGCCACCGAAGCATGGTCATCCTCCTAAACGCCAGTCGGTCCTCGGATTCGAGGGTCCGGCCGCGTTCTCGGCAGAGCTCATGCATGGCGGCGCGTTCCTCAGCGAGCAGGTCGTCGGGCGGCAGTGACGACAGAATACCCCACCACTCCGGACACTGTTCGGTACGCCGAAACTGTCCGTTTCGTCGCCCGCCTCTGCACCCTAAGCAGGACTTCATGGTTTTTGGACGAATATTCAAGAGTATCCGCCTTGCAGCCATTATTTCTTTTATATCCAGCGTTGGTTGTATTATTTAACCATCTTATTGTTTTTGATAAATTTTATTTTTATTTCATCTTACTCTTTGTTGTACTATATAACATTTTTTTATTTAAATAGATCATACTGTCCCTTAATATCCCAATAACTAATTAAAATGTTATTTTCGAGCTATAATATTTATATTATAAATGCTATGAAAAAAAGAAGTATTATTTTTTATAAGCATTTGATTAGCNCTATGAAAAAAAGAAGTATTATTTTTTATAAGCATTTGATTAGCAGTAAATATAATAAATAAAATAAAATGATCGATAAGACCAATATCTATGATATTTTTCAATTCTAAACACTCCTTTTATTAATTATTATTTACGTATTTCACATAAAATTTAATAAAAATGACGATGTTAAGTTCAATTTAAAATAAATTTAAAAAAAAACTAAATACAATATATTAAGAAATAATACTCTTACACTAAGCATTTAAATAATATTTTTATTGTATAATTAAATAAAAATTATGAAGGTATTTTTTTTTATTTATTCAAGTAGAAAATACAATTATTTTTGCAATAGAGGGTATTAATAAAAAAAATGTAATTATTGTTTTTCTTTAGCATTGGATTCTTCGAGTAACAGTGAGTTTCATAAATAATATTATTCAACAAGACAATTAACTATATAGGTGTTAGGTTAATAAGAAAACTACTTTATTCAGAGATTAAATATTATTTACGATTTTAATACAGAATTAATTTATTTAGATAAGATTATTTATTTAAATAATTAAATAAAGTAATATCAATCGAAGTGAATTAATTAAAGAAATAATTGTAATTAAACGTTTAATTAATATTTACGTATTTTAAATAAAATTTAATTAAAATGACGATGTTAAGATCAATATAAAATAAATTTTAAATATTACTAAATACATTATATTACGAAATAATACTCTTACTCTAAGCATTTAAATAATAGAAAGAAAACGTATTTCTATTGTCCTCATTGTTTGTAACAATTTGCCTGATTCCTTATTTACGGAACACACTGTTCACCTTATGAATCTAAATTATTTTGTACATATTTTTAATTAATAACTACACAAAAAATTTGAGTTAATTCGTTAGAAATACAATTTAAGTATTTATAATAATATAGTTTTATGGTATTTCTATAGCTTTGGACAAAAATAAGGAAGGTATGTTATCGATTAAAAAAAAAAATAACAAAAACGCCTTTTTCTAAGCAATTAATAACATTCTAATTTTTAATGTAGAATTGAATAAAATTAATGAAAGTCTTATGAAAGTTATTTTGTAAATATTTGGAATTTATAAACTTTATTCATGTTTTTATGTTATATCTTATGTAATACTTGCTTTATAATAAGTAATATTGCTACACGAATTTTTATTTAGAAATTTATTAATTGCTATCAAATGCCTATAACTGTTATGATAATTCAGTATGAATAAAAAGCGACTTTACTCGAAGGTAGTAATCCATTAACGACTGTTACATTATTATTATTATTTTGATTTTTTCCTGTCAACACTAATCCACGTTGNAATTTAGTAAATAACATGATGGTTAACATATCATTCATTAAATCTAATACGTGGAATTTTTACCGGTTTTATTAAATAATATTTTATTTTATATAATATACATAAATTATAATTATTTCAATAAAATTATATTTTAAGTATAAATACGCCTTATATATACTAATAATAAAATTTTATAATATTTTTATAGCTTTGGACAAAAGCAATGAAGAAGGTATGTTAATCAATAAATAATATGTGATGTTGAACATATAAATATATGATGGTTAATATATTATTTATTAAATCTAATATGTGGATGTTGTCGTGACACTATAACAATTTCATTCGTGATTCATTAAATAATTTTTCATTAACTTGTACAAAATAAAAGTTAATTTATTTTTTGAATCATAATAAATATCAAGTTTATTGTAAAAAAAAATTATTTCATAAGGTAGACTTTAGAGGTAACTTTCAAAAATTAAATAAGAACTAAAAAAAGTTTTTATTATACTAGATTGGAGAATGTAATAAAGAAAATTTGACTGTTCGATAACCAGCATTGTTTATTTCTATTGAATAATTATAATTGTATTATATTAAAATTAACAACCAGCTAGTATTTTTTTAAGACCATTTTGAATTTATTAGTAAAACAATATTAAAATCTTCCATTTAACTTTCAAAAGTAACTCTTAAAATTTTCCCTCTAAAATAAATGAAAACAATTATTGAAAAGTAATGTTAAAAGAAATAATTTAAAAGTAATGTCTCATTAATATTTACGTATTTTACTACAATATTTGATAAAAATGAAAATGATAAGCTTATTTTGAATAATCTAAGTGATTGAAAATTAAACGTAAAAACAATTTAAAAGTGTTGTTTGTTTATTATATCATAAATGTATAAAATTCTTAAGAAAAAAAGAATATATTTACACCTAACTAAATGAATAAATTACAGCATATTTATAGCTCTACAATCAAAATAATAATATAGTATAATAGTAATTGATCACTTGTGGCTAATATTATTTTAAATATTAACATTTATGTATGTGTTTAGGGCAGTTAAATATTTTTTATAATATTTTGTTTTAAATTAATATATAAAAAAAACATATTTTTAATTTTTATTATAATTATTATCAGTTTATAAATTTGTTACAGAATCGGATAGTTATGGTATGTAAATTTATTAATAAGTTAAAGTAATTAAAAAAAAATTATTCCATATCTAATTCAACATCATACCTCGAAATAAATATTATGCCATCTATTTCTATCTTCTGCTAACTTTCGCCAATGACTTTTTTGATTCCACTGTACCGCATCCCTATTAATGCAGTCTTCCCATCTTAAGGATAAACAATTGAATAGTTCTTTGAGCCTCCCTGGAACTGCTGTTATGTATTACTTCAGAGTGGCCCATACCGTCTATAACTCATACCACCACGTTGTGAATCAGCCCGAAATTAATCAAGAGCGGATTCGCAACGTGGTGTGGCCCGTCCCGTTAACCCGTTCCCAAAGTGGGAACTATTAGGGAGGACTGGCAAAATAACTCACATGACAAAAAACATAACAAAAAAATAAGAACTTAAGGCACCGGCCTAAACCAGCGCCTCAGGTCCTCTCGTGCCGGGCGGCGTGGTTGCCTCTGTCTCAGGGGTTCCGTTTCCTCCTTCATTAACAAGATGGATTCTGCGAACGCCTGGACGAGATTCCACGCCTCCCGGCTCCTCAACATTAGATCCATCATGGACCCGACTTGGAACATGGACCCTAGTCATAATTCTAAAGAGTCTTGCTCCTGGTCCCACGCCAAGCACCGGAAGAGGGTGTGCTATCAGCCTCTCCCAGACGATCCGAACAGTGGTCAGGGTTACTACCCTAACCTATTTCTAGTAATTTCGAGAGGATAAAATTCTTTTTAATAAGAAAAGTATGTGTATCAGAACTGTTACGAAACCGTCGTAGAAACGTATCACACATTGCACTCGGTAATATTTAATCGTTTTAGTCGGCAAAAAATTTCAATATGAGTTTATCTCATTGTTTAATTTTTTTTTGTTTAAATGATATTACTAAAAATAACAATTAAATAAAAATTCACACAGCATTGAATAAATAATATAATTATTAAAAATAATCAATTTATTCACCCTCTAGAGTCAAATAAATAATGAATAAATAAAATGAAATTTGGCACATACATTTTTTATAATTATATTTTAATTTAGTATTTATAAAAATAAATTCATTATTTTATTAAATGGTTTTTTTTTTTGAAGATTGTCCAATTTGTTTGCAAGAACTTGGCGAAGATTTTACTGAACATGAATGTGGTAACAAATATCATATAGAATGTCTTCACCGTTGGGAAGTAGAAAGCAAATACCATAATTGTCCTGTTTGCCGAGAAATATTATATCCTAGTAAGTATTTTAAGTATAATTCTGTGAACTATTCCGTATAAATCAAATACGTATTATATTATTTTTTATAATATAATATTATTATAAAATGATAATAATTTATGAGTATGAAAAACTGAATGCAGTTTTTACAGGTATTTTAATTTTAATTTTATCTTTTTCTATTTCTATTTATTAAATAGGAACTCCTTAATTTTCCATTGCTTTATTACTTTAAATATAACTGATTTAACTGAAATTACTCTCACCAACCTTGTAATAAAACTTGTGAGTAATGTTATTATTATCTTCCATTAATGGTAGATTTCACATACTCATGTACTATTTGCTAATACACTAGTCATTGGCTGGTTAGTATATTTTTAAGTGAATGGCAACTTTTTATACACAAAGTCTCATTCAAAACCATTCCTAGGTTTTTAGTTGAAATGTCCAAAAACTATATAAAAGAAAGATTGTCTATAGTGTTTATAATAAACCTTTTGCTAATATAGGCGAAAAATAAATTTAAAAAAAATAAGTTTATACAATCTTAATTACATAAAAAAAAATAAAAATGTTAGGTTTTGTAGCGTATCGATAAGCAATGTGAAAGACCCAGTGAAAGTTGATATTTTTTATGTTAAATACGGATAAAAAAACCCAACCCAGAACAGGGGGGTCGCGGCACAGTTGTGACGTGGTATAGTTGGATCAAGTATAATGATATCTGACAGTGATTAAAATCACTATCAAAAATAAACGCTTCGATGCAAATCTTTAGATAGTGTTTAATTTAAAAAAAATTGGTGTTTTATTCCAAAAGCTACTTGATCTGCTGGTTCCTTATTAATATCTCGATAAAGATAAAGTATGTCAAATAAAAAAGGGTTTATTAAAAAATATTATTTCTCATAAAAAAATTGTGTGGATCCATAAACTTTTCAATAAGTTATAGCATTATAAAGTTAAATATTATATAAATAATAAAATCGAGAATTTTCACACGAAAATAGCATTCGGTAGCCATTTTCGCCGTGAAGACAAGTCCAGAGGTCAAATTTTTTTTTTTCAAATTAAAGTATATTACATTAGCTTTAATTTAAGATATATATAAAAGTGTCAGACCTTCCGGAACATTTTCAAAAGTTAAGTTGAAAAAGTTAATTTTTTGTGAAAAAGTTGTCATTTTAAATCCCCCCCTGTGGGCAGGTTAAGTGTCAGATTTACAAAAAAAATATACCAAATGATAAGTAAAGACATCAAGCATCTATATAAAAAAAAATTATATTGATATGTTCATTTTTGAAAAAGTTAGAGCATTATTAAGTTAAAAATATAAAAAAAAATTATTTTACAAAAATCGTAATTTTTTATTAACTTTGATGTCAACTTTCACCACGAAGACAAGTCCAGAGGTCAAATTTTTTTTTTTCAAATTAAAGTATATTACATTAGCTTTAATTTAAGATATATATAAAAGTGTCAGACCTTCCGGAACATTTTCAAAAGTTAAGTTGAAAAAGTTAATTTTTTGTGAAAAAGTTGTCATTTTAAATCCCCCCCTGTGGGCAGGTTAAGTGTCAGATTTACAAAAAAAATATACCAAATGATAGGTAAAGACATCAAGCATCTATATAAAAAAAAATTATATTGATATGTTTATTTTTGAAAAAGTTACGGCAGTTTTTAGTAAAAAAAATTGAAAGAATTTCGAAAATTAACGTATTTTAAATTTGTAATTTTTTT